TCGCTGTGCCAAGAAAGCAGAGAATTTCATCTTTGCTGGATCCACCAGGTAGTGTCTGCCATAGTTCCTTTTTATTCGGAACCACACGCGTGTCACCCTTATCGCTCCAAGTAAACCCCGGCAATATCGCTCCGTCTCGGCATTGCAGGGATGCGAGAGGTCAACGGTCTAACGACTACTGCATGCGTTTCCATAAATGCACCCCACCCCCTCCCCGGCACTCACCCCCTCTTCATCCAGGCCTCCAATGGTGCGCGACCTGCTGCTCTGTGTGCGGTACAGCCGTCTTTCGGACGGGTCCACAGGATGGTCTGCGCTCAAGCCCTTGCCGCTGAGGTCACTCACGAGCGCACCGACCTCCTCCATCGATAACGACGACGCCGTCGTGGATCTTCGCTCTTGTTGGTGCTGCTGACGAGATGAAAAAACAAGCGGTTTCATCGAAAAAACAAACAACATCAAATTGTTTTCAAGCCAGCCGGCCCAACGTGAATCAATTAGTCTGCCTGCCGCCCACCATGTCTGAGAGTACTTTTCGATTGCAACCTGGAACAAGAGGAGCCAATGTTTGGTTCGAAAGAAGCCAACTACTCTCAACGGTTACGGGCCTCGCTTCTTTTTTCCGGACCCACTACACAGCACTGCGAAATTAATTAACACCAGTCCTGATGGCGGATACGTACGGCCCTATTGCTGACAAGCGAAACTCACGTGCGCGGGGGAATATGTTAACAGCAGCAAAGTAGCAGCAGCAGCAGCAGTAGCAGCGGTGCTAACATCAACATTCGGCGGTCGGTCACCCACCCTCTCCATGAGTTCACGCCGACAGCATCATCATCATCAACAACAAAAGCAGCAACAACGACAACAAAAACAACCAAGATCAGACCATCAACAACAAGAGAGAGGCACGGAAATACTCACACTAATAAACGAAATGTCGCGTCCATGTCTTCGACGGAAACTGGCACTTTTATAGTCTACAAAAAGTCTTCACTTCAATAACGATCGCTACGTTCGCCATTAGCAACGACTCACCCCCCTCCCACTTGCTCCCATCCGTATATCCTTCAAAGAGGATAGACTGCCATTCCAACAAGTACTTCAGCAGTAGAGAACCGTCAGCAGCTCACACATTGCTTGCCATTTCATCTGCAAGAGGCAATGAGACCTTTTCTCTTGGAGCCTCTGAGCTCCCACCCCGTCACGTCAATCGGAGGAGTTGAACGACCGAACTCATACTTGACATGCATACAAAAAAAATCCTAGACGCTAAAACCTGCTCTGTGCCCGAAACATCTTCCCAGGTGCCGGTCCACACAATGAATGACGAATTTCGACAAAGAACATCCACCAGCTACTGTTCTATGCTACTGTATTCCCGTTCAATATATAGTTTTCTTCGCAAAGCGCATGACTCGCTCTGCGACGTGCAATGGTCTGAAATGCTAGCACGCGCTTCCCGACCTTCCCCAGTCGCCCGTTGGTGGTATGCCAAGCCACCCAGTGCAGACACCGTACGATCACCATTGCTATAATCACCGGCTGAGGAAAACTCCAGACCCGCGCATTCGGTTCTGGCCCCTGCTGGTTCTCTCCCACACTCTGCCTCGTTCGCTTGGAACGTTACGGCAAAACACAACAACAAACACAACCGGAAGGCCGACTACGTATGGATATGTCTGTCTACGATCATCCTTGACACAACTCGATATTTCCCGTGTGTGTTACGAACCCCCAGACTCGGGACACACCGCAGTATTTTCTATCAAGTCCAACAAGCGTTCTCCTACACACGCATGGCCAAGCAAACACTGAAGGTGCATCCCTTCTCGATGCGGTTTTGTTCTGTTCCTCATCCTACGGGTGTCGGTCCCGCCTCGTTCATGTGGTCGTCGTCCTCCTCTAAACACGAGTTGCCCGCACAATCTACCTTCATCTCGTTCGTGTACGAAAACGTCATCGTCACGCTGTCGTCGCCAACCCTCGGCGCCGGTTCGTGTTGTTCCTTCACCCTCGACGGGCACCCCAACACGATCGTCTCCACAACAACCGCCAAAACCATGCAAGCGTGCGCCGCAACGAGAACAGCCTCAAAGACCTTTTGGCTACTTCTCTTCTCGTCGGACACATCTACCTTGAGCAGGAGCGCGACGTACACGCTCATGAAAACTACGGCGTGACTCACGCGACTGACCCAGGTGTCCCACGCTTGCGCGTTTGGGTGCAAGGCTTCTGAGAGCACCGCAAACACAACGGTCATGATGAGCGTTATCGCAATCTGGGCGGCTGTGTTTGGGTACATGAACACGACTAGGCCGGTCAGCAGAATACGGCGACCGCATTCGATCACCTCGTAATAGTACACCGAAGTCCCTGACCAACAACTACTTCCGAACACCGAAAGGTGGAGTGCAGCACACATTCCAGAGCTCCAACAAGGGAAAGGAGAAGTACCGCCTCGACTTCATCCTCATGCGTCAGGCGGACCGGCGTTTCGTGCGCAATGTCTCCGTCAAACGTGTCGACTTCAAAGACTCTGACCACAACCTCGTGCTTACGACTGTCCGCCTCCCCCCCCGTGTCGCACCCAACCGACGAGTGCGGGGGAACAGCGGAAGCCACCGGATCCGTATCGACCTCGAGCGGTTGAGGAAGGACAAACACCTGCGGGTTGCCTTCCAAAACAGGGCCTCCAGCCGCCCTCCGCCCACGGCGCTCAGGCGGCCAACGGGAGAGACCGCCGCCGAGCTGACGGCTACGGTGATGTCGGCCGCTGCTGAGACCGCGCCGCTGGCGAGGTGCGCACGAGGGCAGAGAGGCTGGTACACGAGCGAAGC